TCAGCAGCAGGCTGTTCTGTCAGGATAGTCAGTATGTATTTCAGGAGCCAATTATAGACATATATTGTTATATTTGTTGTTGTTATACAGCTTCCAGGAGAGCACAAACCTCACAACACTTGTATGAGCAGTGCCAGCCACCCTGCGGCTACTGCTTTTTGAGAAGAGCTTTTCTGATGGGGTGATAAAGTGGGGTAATACCCCGGGACCATGTAAGCCTTCCTGTACTGATGTTAGTGCTCTTTCTGAAGTGTGCTCATCTGGAACCATGTTTCAATGAAGCCTGTACAAATATCTTTGCCAATGCTGGGGGATAATTAACACTGCGCTGTTATTAGGCCACACACTAAGAGATTGCCTCAGCTCTGAGCCAGCAAATTGTCTGTCACTCTTTCATAAGGAAGAAAAGAGAGGGCAACTCAGAGCAGCAAAGTAGCTAGGCCATGGCTCTGAATCTTGTGCACCATTCCCTGCAAAGGAAGCCCAGGTAGCCTTGACTGCCTCCAGCCTTAAACATCTGTGTTGAATACCTGAAGTTAGGTATGGTAAACCCTGCCAAAAAGAAATGCCATTGCTTGGCACCTTTTCCAGCATCCGTTTCTCTGTGATTTTTGTCACTTGAGTCACTGTGGTGAAAGTGTCCCTCCCTTGGCTTAGGTGAGTGCGTGGACACTGGTGAGTATCGGGGTGCTGTGGAGGTGCACTTGTGCTTTTACATGAAATTTGGACCGTGCTGGTTGCCAAGTGGCTTTCTGCACACCAGGCAAGGAACCTCACTTTGTGTGGAACGGTGCTAGAAGAAATAGATGGTCTGATGGTGCAGCACAGTGAAGCCTTGGATCCAGCTGCTTTCAGAGGAAAAGAGAGCAGAGGAAAGCTTGTCTGCCTGGGCTGAACTAAGCAGCTTTCTCTGTCTTTGCCTGTCTGTGAAGCCAGAAGTGCAAGTTCAGAACATCAGGGCAGCAAGAAACAGAGAAGGGGATGGAAAATGCTGTTGAAATGGTTGTCAAGGTTGTGAGCCAAGGTCAGGCTGTGCCAAACAACAGGCCAGGCTTTTGAGGATGTGCCAGATGCAGCAGCAGAGATAGCTCTGGAAGAAGACCCGGGATGAGACCTGCCCTCTGCAGGAGGTATGTGGCTCTGCAGCACTGATGCTGGGTAGGGGAGAGGGGAGCTGTGTGACAGGTTCTTTCAAGTGACGGCCTTGAATGGTGATCTCCTTCTCCCATTTCACAAAGCACAAGTATCTGGCCTTGCCCATCCTGCCTAGCTCTGACATGCTCTTCCCTATGCAGTTGTGGGAGCATTGATTAAACTAACACTAAGATCGTGGTCTGCAAAACGTGCAGATTGGCCAGCTGTTTGCAGAACCAAACAGGGTGGATTTAGTCTGAAAGAGCAGGGCTGGAGCATGCTGTGGCACACTGGGCAGTGTGGGCACAGTTGTGAGGTAGCATTGCCACTAGCAAATACTTTCAGATCTGAAAAGGGAGTTGCTGGTTAATGTTACATGACTCCTGGATGCTTTTTATTAGTCTCCCTTTCCAATAACATGTAAAGCATGGCCATCAAGGTTCAAAACAAGGAGTCCTGGCAGCCATGGTAGAAAGTGGCCAGAAGGATGAAAAGACCTGAACCAGTGACCACGACAGGGACTGACCTCTCTTTGTGTCTGTAACACTGGGGCCCCAGCGTAAGCAGAAGCTATAGCTGGCATTGTTTACCAGTACTAGTAGCTGATTAACCCTGCTCTTGTTCTTCGTTACAGTGACCCCTGCAAGCCTGAGGTCACTGCTGAGCTGAGCAGAAGAGGGAGCACCTATATAGGAATAGGAGGACCTGAGCTGTACCCAGTCCTTGGAGCACTGGTCACTGGCACTGCTCCTGGAGCATTCCAGGAGCCAGAGCAAGTGTTAGAGCCAGAGGGCTGCTTTGCAGCAGACTATCGTAGAACTGAGCTTCAGAAGGTGCTATTGCATATACAGGCAAAAGTAGCTGTTGTGTTTGTAGATGGTCTTTTTACCAATGCTGTAAAGACCTTTCCCTTCCTTCTGCCAGGGCTGTGTGGTAGGATGGCAGCAGCTTACGTGCTACTTATCAGTGTTCCTGCAGGCTGCATCGCTGCCAGCCTTCCAGCGAGACTGTGATGGTAGTCTGTAAGGCTGTACACTATGTTCGACCGGCAGTAGTTTGTAGCTGGGACTTTACTGTTTTTGTGCTCAATAAAGGAAATTTAACACCATTCATCTTTGTATTGTGTGCTTTAATGTACTGTCAGGGCACCTGAACATCACTGCTCCACAGAACTCACGTGGTTTTCAAGTGTCCCCAAATGAAAGCATACTGCTGCATTCAGGGAAAGAAAAAAAAATAACAGGCAAAGGAAGCATCATTTTCTGACCAGAAAACCAGCTCCACTTTGACACTTTTATGTCCTTGTTTTGCCCAGACTATAATAATGTGTTCAGCTTACAAGCATCAGTAGCACCACAACTCAAACTAATACTCTCCTGTACAGAAATTGGTGCAAAGCTCCCTCTTGTGATCGTGAGCTGGGACACCTGGCACCAAGCACGTTAAAGGTGTGAGTGGTGGCGGCTGCTCCTGCCAGCAGTTTGAATTTCTCACTGGGTCTTTCAGGGTGCAGTGTGTGTCTTGGCATACACTGGGTGTGTTTTGGTGACCCAAGAGGGAACTGGCAGCTGTGCACTGAGATCACTGAGCTAATTGCAATGAGCTGGGATGTTAAAAATTGCAGAGTCCTTTAAATGTTCTTGCTCAAAACACTTAGCTAAAGGTGGCATTTTGGTGCAGCATTAATGGCCCTTAAGGTGTACCTGCTCTGGAGTGGCAGCTGTGGCTGGTGAGACCACTCAGTGTGGCCTGGGCTGTCTCCAAGAGGCCTGAAGTGGCAGGGTGGCATTTCCTCGTGCTTAGTTGCCTGTCCTGATAAAAGTGAAGGCAGCGCTTGCACGGGCAGCCTCAGCACAGCAGTATCTTGTGGAAGAAACAAATGTCTCTAGATACCTGCTCTCTCCTTCCCTCTAACAGTGTCTGGGTGGGTCCCATGGACACATTGGAAGGTGCACTTCCACTTTTTTTTGCCTTCTGTCAGGATCCCTGAGGTGACCTGTGAGGGTGCGGTTAAGGCTTTATCGTTTGAACCCTGTCTTCTTGGCAGTCTTCTTTTTCACCAGTAGTTGTTAGGGTCAGTGCTGTGGTACTCGTACAAGGCAGATGCTTATGAAAGACTTCACCCCAGGCGGGATGGTGGTGTAAATACTGTGCTGTGTTGTTCGTGTTGGCCACCTAATTCCTACTGACACAGGCCTTGAGTACCTGCGTGCCTGTATTTGCATGGGTGAGGACAAGCTGAGACGAGTCGGGGGAACTGGCGTGCTTGCTGGGTGACAACTGCTGTAAAGATTGAAGTTTTTTGTTTGTATTTGCAATGCAAGCAAACATCATGCAGGATCTTTCAGACTATTCCAGCCTACCTGATTTGTTTCTGTACAGGGCAATACATTTCTTCCTTAGCTGTAACTCCTTCAGAGAGTGGTTACACACAGGAAAATAATTGTGTTGTGTATTTTTTAATGATCTAGTAAACTAAGAGCTCTTTCCTTTCCTTTCTTGTGTGTCTTCTGATGGAACTGTATGGGGGATGTTCTCTCCAGGGTGGGTAACACACACAATCCAACTTCCAAATCTGTTGTATGCTCAATGGCTGAATTTGTTTCTGAGTCAGTACAGGAACTCCTGACAGCCCTGATTCTGGATTTCTTTTTAAAGAGGGAGACATCGGTACATGGGACTGCTGCAAGCCCCAAAATGGGTCATGAAGAGGGGTCAGAGAATGACCATGGAGTGCCTTCATCCAAAAAGATGCAGGGGGAGCGTGGAGGAGGAGCAGCTCTCAAGGAGAACGTGTGTCAGGTAGCATCCTTAAAGAAATCTCTTTGAAACTTTACCACTGTGAAGTGTTTTTGTGTAAGTTCTGGGTCACGCTAGTGCCCCAGATAAGCCCAGGTTGCCTCAAAGTGCTCATTGTAGAATTAACCAGCTTTTCCTCTGCCATTGTCTCCTGCCCTGCTAAAGTTCACAGATGTTAGGGAGATGTGACCACCACAGGATTCATTTTAGCCAATGCACGGCAGCAGGGACAGAATGACAGATGGCAATAAACACGCACAAGCCACCTAAATTTACTGACACAAGGAAAACTTAGCGTTTTTCCACAGAGGTCTCTGCTGGCAGTCATGGCCTGCACGTGGATTGTTGCTCTCTGGGATGGGTTTGGGAAGGAGTTTGCTCAGAGCTGATGTTGTGCTTCTTTTCCTGCAGATCTGCGAGAAGCCAGGGGAATTGTTGCTGTGTGAGTCGCAGTGCTGTGGTGCTTTCCACCTGCAGTGCCTTGGGCTCTCCGAGATGCCAAAGGGCAAATTCATCTGCAATGAGTGTTCCACAGGTGGGCAGTGCAGGAGGACAGGGTGCTTGCCACCTGCTTCCTGGCGTGATGTAGCTGCTATCTAACTCCCAGTCCTCTGATTATTGGTTTGATGATTGATAATGAATTTCTAGTTAACTGGTCTTACTGTTAGTTCAGGCATGTGGGGTGCAAAGAAAATATTCAGGATCTGGTGGGAAAGAGAAAGGGAAATTCTTACCTGGGACTATGGAGAGAGGGCTGCTGGGGAGGATGAGTCTTGAGCGGGCTGGAGATGGGGGAGTGTCGAAGTAGGGTTGTCTGGTTTGGTTTTTCTTATTATTTTTCTCTGGCCTGAAATCACAACTACAGCATTTTTTTGATCTGAAGTTTTATTGCATCTGCAGGCAAAACCAGCGTGTTGGGATGGGTACCACAGGTTGGGAAGTTGTGCTGTGCTAATACACAGCCTGGTGGAAGTGTCAGGTCTTCATTTAGCCCTTCAATCTGACTGGTGGTGTCTGCTGCTCTTTCTCCAGGGGTGCATACCTGCTTTGTGTGCAAGAGCTGCGGGGAAGACGTAAAACGGTGCTTGCTGCCCCTGTGTGGGAAGTACTACCATGAAGCGTGCATACAGAAGTATCCGCCCACGGTCATGCAGAACAAGGGCTTCCGCTGCTCCCTGCACATATGCATGACGTGTCATGCTGCTAACCCAGCAAACATCTCTGCGTCTAAAGGTACTGACATCTTCCAGGGTTCTCTAGGGGACGTAGTTAGAAGCTTTTCCTTTGTTTCACGTCCACCGTGTGGTTACCTGGTCCACTAGTTCTTGATGTTGATTTTCTGTCCTTGCCACAGCGCTTGCTGTAGCATTTGCTGAGGAGCAGCGTCTCTCGGAGAGCACAAGGAGTGGTGTCCTGTGTCAGGCTGCTGCTCATCAGCACTGCTGACGGCCAGACATGGCAACTGAAATGTTCTCCTCTGCCCAGCGCTTGGATACCTTCCAGTCCAGTGGTGCTATGTGCCTCCCTGGGTTTTTGAATAAGTCTCTGGAGCTGTACGGACACCCTTGTGTTTCTCCTGTGTACTTCTCACTGTGCCAGTGCAGCAGGTAGCCTGCTTAGAAACACTGCTTATCAAGGCAATGGCATAGAGAGCAGTGCAGTAAAAATTTACACAGTTTTAGTTCTCCTTTCTTTTATAATGCATACTCTTGTCTTGTAGTAGTGATGCCCTTAGGCTAAACTTCTCAGACAAACGTTTGTTTGAGCTGTTTGCAGCACTACCTTGACACATGATTAAACTTAAAACTTTTATGGCATTGCCTTGTATGTTTGCTTCTAAAGCTGCCTTTCTTTAAATCCTTGGTATCTTAAGACAAATGACAATAAGACCAGCTCTATTTTTATCCTCAGGGTCTGTGTTAAAGTTGTCTCCCCCCCTCCCCCCCCCACGTAATCAGTATTTGGTGTAGAAAACAACACTAAGGCGTGAAACCCACAGCTGACCGCTTCCCCACTGAATATTTGTGGTGTGTTCCTCTGGCTGCTGCTTCTTGGTGGTCACATTTACCCCTTTCCTCCCATCTCTTCTCTGTTTGCAGTCTCCTGTGAGGAACTGAGAACAGGCTCTCAAAAACCTCGGATAAATTAGGCCTGTAGGCAGTTTTGAATTCTCCATTCTGGAATTTCAGGGTAAAATCTGATAAAGTGGCGAGACAAATGCCGATGTTTTCAGAAGCTACAGGGATTGGTTTCATTATGTGCAGCAAAGCACTTGGAACACCCCCTCTGTAATTAGTGTCTGAGCTGATTTACTAATTATTTGTGTATGATAGGAAGCAGCCCCAGTCTGTGAACTCTTGAACTGTTTCTGCACAGCGTGCAGGATATTTTTCACTCCTAAATAATGCAATTGTGGATATGTTATATACAAATATGTGTGTGTGTTTGTGTGTATTTGATAACAATTTGATGTATATTTTGTTAAATAATTTCATAGAAATCTAGTGAGTATGTCATGAATACTCTATGAAAATTTCAGATCAGTTTCCATTTCCAAAGATCACTTATGGTTGCTTGTTTCAAGCTTAGGCATCAGTAGAGACTAGTTTTGGGAGGAAACAAAATATCAGCCTCCTTTAGAGGTTCACTGTGTTTCCAATGTGTTTTGGTGCTAGGTCGCTTGATGCGCTGTGTCCGATGTCCAGTTGCGTACCACTCCAATGACTTCTGCCTCGCTGCTGGGTCTGTGGTCCTTGCCTCCAACAGCATCATCTGCCCTAATCACTTCACTGCACGGAGGGGCTGCCGCAACCACGAGCACGTCAACGTCAGCTGGTGCTTTGTCTGCTCAGAAGGTGAGATGGTGTCTTCTCTGTCCCCTGTCACCAAGGAATCCTAGGATGGTTTGGGTTGGAAGGGACCTTAAAGCTCATCCAGTCCAACCCCCCTGCCATGAGCAGGGACACCTCCCACCAGAGCAGGTTGCCTGAAGTCCCTTCCAACCTGGCCTTGAACACTGCCAAGGAGGGGGCATGCACAACTTCCCTGGGCATACCCTCTTCCAGTTTAAAACCATTCCCCCTCATTCTGTCGCTACCTGCCCTTATAAAAAGTCCTTCCCCAGCTTTCCTGTAGGACCCCTTCAGGAGCTGGAAGGCCACAATAAGGTACCCCCTGGAGCCTTCTCTTCTCCAGGCTGAACAGACCCAACTCTCTCAGCTGGTCCTCGTAGGGGAGGTGCTCCAGCTCTGATCATCTTCGTGGCCCTCCTCTGGACCCGCTCCAACAGCTGCATGTCCCTTCTTATGTTGGGGGCCCAGAACTGGATGCAGTACTCCAGATGGCGTCTCAGAATGCCCTGACAGGAAGTCATTAGAGCAGGCAGAAGCTTTCCCTGTTCAGAGTGTGCTAGTGAGAATTGCAGAGAACAAGTTGCCTTCCTATCCATGCCTGTTTAAGCCCAACTTCAGGCTAGGATTTTTTCTGGATCGTTGGAAGGGTTCTTTTTGCAACATGAGTAGGGCACAACTGTTGAAAAAGGTTTGCAGAAGAGAATCATGTCCTTTCTCAGCTCTGTGGGGTTCAGTGCTTCTGCATAGATAAATTTCTCCTCCTCTTCTTTGCAGGGGGCAGCCTTTTATGCTGCGAGTCGTGCCCGGCTGCATTTCACCGTGAGTGTCTAAACATTGAGATGCCAGAGGGAAGCTGGTATTGTAATGATTGCAAGGCAGGCAAAAAGCCACACTACAAGGAAGTGGTCTGGGTGAAAGTTGGGCGCTACAGGTAGGTGAAGGTACTCACTCAGTGCTCATTATGCCAGAGGTGAGAAGCTGCTCCTCCTTGCAGGGTACTGTGCAGCAGCCTCTGGTAAAATGTATGTGTACAGCAGCTGGTAAAATGCGTGCTTTCCTTTTCCAGTAGCATCTTGTCTCCCCTCCAGCGCTCCTGGTAGCCCTCACACACTTCTGCCCCCATGACTCTGTGCAGTAGCATGCTTCTAAGGCAGTTGGAAGTGAGGAAGCCAGAGTTGTAATCTGTCCTTCCCTGTGTCGCAGGTGGTGGCCAGCTGAGATTTGCCATCCTAGGACAATTCCTGTCAACATCCAGAAAATGAAGCATGACATCGGTGAATTCCCTGTGCTGTTCTTCGGCTCCAAGGATTACCTGTGGACCCACCAGGCCCGTGTGTTCCCTTACATGGAAGGTGATGTCAGCAGCAAAGACAAGATGGGGAAGGGCGTGGATGGCATTTACAAGAAAGGTAACTTGTCTTCACCCAGGGAGGAGCACGTTCTTTTTCTCTGCGTTACCGTGTGGAGAAGTGGCATTCTTGTAGCGTAGAGAAGTGTCTTCTTAGACCACAAGTGAAATTAAATTTGTAGGATGAGCTGCTGCTTATCTGTCATCCAGTGCACTCGGAATGTTCATTGGTCTGACTCCCTGAGAGAGAGAGAAGGGTGTGCAGATCTCAAACGCTTCTCCAGCTCCGACATAGCTGCTCTAAATCAGAGTAAGCTGCTGCTTTATCAGTTTCCCTGTGTCTAATAGAGTCATTATCTGTGTATAAAAATGCACTTGAGAGTTGTGAGTGCAGCTGCCTGACACCTCTGGCCAAAAGCAGGCAAAGCTAGCTGATGGTTTGGATGCTCCATCATCCATGGGCTTGTCCCTTACTGTAACTCCTGTGACTGCCCTGCTGCATTGGCCTTTTCTTCACCCTTCTTCAGTGAAATTTTGCCTCTGAAGTACATGGCCAGGGAAGTTTGTAGAGCTGTGAGGACTGGGTGGACATAGGCAGTGCAGCTTCGTATGAGCAGAGGGAGTTCCTCGTAACACAGCGTGTTCTCTGACTTGCCCAGCTCTTCAGGAAGCTGCAGTAAGATTTGAAGAGTTGAAGGCACAGAAAGAACTGAGGCAGCTTCAGGAAGACAAAAAGAATGACAAGAAACCTCCTCCCTACAAACATATCAAGGTGAGAGCAAGTGAGGGGGGACAGGTACGGAAGAGAAGTCTTGAGCTGTTGGTGCAGATGATTTACAGGTATATAGAAACATTTCTACTGTTTGGGCATCTGGCTGCATTTGAGGGTTACTTTAGTCCTCTTGGCATCTTCAGTCATCCTCCACAGAAAGGACTCATGTATACGCAGAGCTATATGTAAGTTGGACACCAATAACAGAGGTACTCTGATTTATTGGAACAGATCTGGGCATCTCTGTGCTGTTCCATGTCAGTTGTGTGGTCTGAAGGAACTGTCTCTCTACCCTGAGAACTTAGAGGAGAGTGCTAGGAATATGCAACGTGCTCGAGTACTGTGTGCTACTGACGGCAAGGTTGGCATCCCAGGTGGTGCAAGGTAGGAAATGGTCAGGGTGCAGCAGAGCAGAGCGATGTGGAGGATGGTAACCCAGAGTGTCTCGTTTCATCTCTGCTATCGTTTTACATCTCTGTATCAGTTGGGGAGTGGACAGGAATACTAAAGCAGATGTACGTGCTGGAATATCGGGCCTTTTGCTGAGTTTTGGGGAACTGTTCATGTTTAGGGCTGTATTTCGAAATAGAATTTGAGCAGCAATGGCAGTCCTGCAGGATAGAGGTGACTTGAGAGGAGCTGGGGTCAAGTGGGTGCATGTTGTTGAGATGTGGGTCCAGACTGATAAGAAACTCAGTGCCTTTTTTTTCATTGTCTCTGTCTGCTCCTTCCCTTTTTTATGTGGCAAACTAGGAAAGCTTAACTGATTGCTGGCACTTCTTGTTTCTAGCTAGGATTTCTAGGTAGGCAGGTATATCCTGCATGAGTTACTGTACAGAGTAAAACACAACTGAATGCAGCGTTATGGGCCAGGCAGCTCCAGTGGAGGAAATGGTTACTCATTACAGGTATTTTTAAGCCTGTCTTTGGTCACAGCATGAAGGAACTTCAGAAGCAGTTTGGAGCCTTTGAAATACCCTTTTAATGCAAATGATAATGATCATGGTCATTAGCCATGACAGCTCTTCTTCTGTCTGGGTGCAAGCTGTTTGTCTTTGAAAGCAGAGCAGTTTGCAGGAACATATGGTGAACTGGAGAAGGCTTCAGGGTGAAATGTCAGAAGCTGGCTGTGTCTGCTCCCGTCCTGGCCTTCTGAGGAGATCAGCACCTTAGGGTCCCTCCCAGGGAGCATCAACACGAGAGGCTGCTGCAAAATACACTTGGGGATCATTCACCACATCAGGGTTGTGGCTAGTTGGAGCATCACCCTGTTTTGAAGATAGTTTTGTACTAGCAGTGCCTTGAAGAGTAAAGCAGGCCTGCTGGGCATGCATGCACACTGAGAGGGGCACTGTGCTCAGACGCCATGGTCGCTGTGTGTACCAGAGCCAGCAAGGGCACCTCTGTCTGCCCAGTGGTGGACAGTCCTAATCGTGTGTAAGTCTCGTCACTCTTAATGAGGTGACGAGCTAACAGCCTGAGTAAGAGATAGCAAGCAGCAGAGCACAAGAGTGACAAGGGAGGTGGGAGGTAGTACTAAGAGGAAGAGGAGACTCTTTTGAAGAGATTAATCAAGGGTTTCTGTAGGGTTTTTTAAACAAAGGAGGAGGATCAGCTAGGCCAGCCTTGGGCAAGCTGCCAGCGTGGAAAACTGCTCAGTGGGTGGGACTAGATAAATTGTGTTGGGGCTGGAATAGTTTTGCTAAATGATCCCCTCCTTTCATGTCCTGGGAGAGGAAAGGGAGCTGATGGTGTTGCTCCCTCGGGCAAAGAACGGCAAGGAGCTTTTCTTCGGTGTCTCTCTCCAAAGTCCTGACTCTCATTTGCCTGCCTTTCAGCGTTCGCTGCCTTTAACCAAAACCAAAGGACCTGCTCATGCCACAGACACGCCAGTCGCTTCTCCACCTGGTGCTGCGCGCTGCTTCCTTCTGGAGCGGTTTTTAGAGAGCTCCTTGGCTTAACTCCGAGCTCCTGTTTGGGCCGTCCAACCCCAGCCTTGCCTGGTTTTTCTTTCATTTACATCTGCAGGACAGTTGGGTAGGGAGCTAACTGCTTGTAGCCTCGTGCATAGGCAGGCCCTCTGTACTCTGTCACGGGCATGCCTGGCTGCTTCTCATAGTGGCAGCTGAGAGCACAAACCAGCTGGAAGGTAACAGATGCCACAACCAGGCCTGTAAGGAAAAGCTGAGGAAAAAGACCTGACACTGGAGAAGGTGCTGTTTCACGCAGAAAATGGTCTGGTGTCGGTCGCAGGTATGGTGTGCACCCAGCGAGAGCGCTGGGCCACCTGGGCTGGATGCAGGCACAGTGGTGATGGGAGGGGGACACTTGACAGCCTCTCCTCCCTGCAGGGTCACAGAATAGACACTGCACCAGGTGATACGGATGGGTGACCTGCATCCTCCTTAGCTCTTCCCTCTAACCATGTACCTCTTGAAATAGCGTTCCCCGAAGTACATATGTACCTGTACTTGTGTCCTTCTGCCCCTTGCTGTAGTTAACTCACACTGCAGCCTGTCAGCGCATAGGCAAGGGTTGAGTACAGGAGTGACTATCAGGAGAACCTGTTCTGAAGAGCTAACGTCCTTTGTGTGCATTCAAGGTGAACCGGCCGGTGGGTAAGGTGCAGATCTTCACTGCAGACCTCTCTGAGATACCGCGTTGCAACTGCAAACCAACAGACGAAAACCCATGTGGCCTGGACTCCGAATGCATCAATCGCATGTTGCTCTATGAGTGCCACCCCATGGTCTGCCCTGCCGGGGAGCGCTGCCAGAACCAGTGCTTCTCCAAGCGGCAGTATCCCGAGGTACAAATTTTCCGCACGCTGGCACGAGGCTGGGGCTTGCAAGCCAAAACAGACATCAGAAAGGTACGTATTCTGTTTCTGCCTGTAATTTTCTCTTGCCATGTGTCTCTTGCTCAATGTTGGTTTCAATAGATTTGAAAAATTGCTGTGCTTCCATAATTAGAAGGCTTCTTGCCGTAAAGTGCCATTTAGGAAAGAAATGGATGAATCTAACTTTTTCAGTCCTGACAAGAATGTTTGTCTCAGCTAACCAAGAAGAAGCTTTGCATGATGGTGTCCCACAGGATAAGAGAGATGATTGCTCCATCTGTCTGCTTGTATGGACTATGGGCTTTATAAGTACAGAACACTGGTCTGAAGATGGTGTTTAGGATTTCCGGATGAGGAACAGTGACCTCCCTGCCGTTCTTGAATAGCCAGGCTTTTCCAGCATGAGATTCCTCTGTCAGAAACAGAAACCAGGGCTTGGCTCTTTAAAAGGGTTAATTTCTTGGAGGTGGTTGTTATTATGGCTGAAACTGTTATCCCCAGCTAAACCACTTGTGTATATATGTTTTTTAAATCCAGAGGATAGTAGCTCTGTGGACAGACATCTGCACTGAATGAAGGAGGAGGGGAATGTTAAGCAAAGAGAGCGCTAAAGCTAAAAAGGGGTGAAGTGAAGCAGAGGACAATTAGCATAGTGGAAGAACGTCTGAAAAAGGAGTAGGGACAACATGCTATGGGGTGGGCTTAATAGCAGAAGGTAAAGTGTGAGTCTGTCCTGTGTAGGCTGTGCTGTGATACAGTTTAAAGGATCTCTCTGCTGTTCATGTGCCTGTTATGTTTCACTTTCAGCAGACAGTCTGGAAACAGCAAAACTCAGTTGTTTAATGGAGGCACCTGAGAGCCCCAGTGGAGCAGAGCTGGGGATCCCTTTGGTGGTTGAAGTGGGATCTCTGCAGTGCTGTGCTGCAGGGGAACTCCACGGGTTCACTGCAGGAGCAAGTGCCCAAGGTGCATCGTGCTGCTTGGTGTGGTTGGTCCCCAGAAGGATATTGTTTCCAGCTGGAACGCAGTTATGCAGTAGTTTAAGCTTTGCCCCAAGGAGATGTTCTTGTGGTTTACTTTTATGGTGTCCGTGAATATTAACTCTTTCCATAATACAAAGAGTTATCTGATGGGTGTTGTTGCTTTATTTAATTTATTTCAAGTTATTTGTTGAGTGTGTGGGACAGACATGATTCAGGGCTCTTAGTGAACATTAAAGGTCAAGCTGGCTGCAAATTACAGGGGAAGATTTTTATGATAGGGTTTCCAGAGAGGAAACAGGGACTAAGTTTTAGCACAGTGTGGATATCCCACCATCCTGGAGGGAGTTTGTCTCATCTTACCAGCTTGTTTTCTCTCTGGCAGGGCGAATTTGTTAATGAGTATGTTGGTGAGCTGATTGACGAAGAGGAGTGCCGAGCCCGAATCCGTTATGCTCAGGAGCATGACATCACCAATTTCTACATGTTGACACTGGATAAGGTATGTGCAAGGAATTTCTCATGCCAGGATCCTAGAGAGAAGTAAAATTATTGTGAAGAAGGCATGATAGGGGTCTTCTCCAGGAAATATAAAGGTACTGTGAGTTGCTGATGAGCTGGTCTGCATTTCCACTGAAGAGAAGACTGAAAGAATGGACTTAACGTGCAGTAGAGAAGCTTCAGGTTGGATATTGGGAGGGAAGTCTGAACCAACTTCTTTGGAGTTTATTCAGAAGAGGTGAGGCAGTTATCTTAGGGCGATTGCCTGAGGATTGTGGATCCTGCTTCAGCATAATAGGGTGAATTTGGTGACCTCAGGATCCCTTCCAGCAGCTGAACCCTGGAGAGTCCAGAACTGGGCTTGTGTGTGCCAGAGAAGGCATCAGCCCTCAGATGTACAAATATTAGGCACAGTGAGGGTTTCATTTCAGTTCAGTTCCCAAGTCTTGCTGTTCTAAGTAGAAGAGTGAAGTTTGTTACACCCACAGACTCCTCAGTGGCTCCTGGAGGCCAGGTTGTTAGTGTGAGCTCCTGGCTTTCAGAGATAAGCAGTTTTGTCAGCTGCTTTCTACACTTTGTCACTCAGCCGTGGATAAATTAGAAGGAAATCATGAAAGCGGCCATGGGAAGAAGCTGTTGAGTGTGGGACGGTAGAATAATTGTGACTGCTTTCTGGCTCTTCCCTCTTCTTGCTGGAAATTCACACTGATCATATCTTGTTCTCCTTTTCTGGCTGATAGGTGGGAGCAGGGGCAAAACCAAGTGTTAGTATCTCCTTCACTATTACAAAGCCAGATCTCAGTTGCTGCTGCCCTCTCCAACTCATTCTAACGAATGGCAATGTGCTGTACAGAAGTATACCTGACTCGTTACGTACTGTTCCTGTTTTCCTTCTCTACGTTGACTTAGAAGAAATAGGAACTGATACTGTGCTTTTAAGCAGAAGTCGGGGTCTGCAACCACAGGTGCTGCCTAGGAAGCGTGGTGGTGTAGTGCGCATCCAGTACTGACACCGCAGAGAGAGGCAACTTCCCAGAAAGCAGCAGTAGCTCTTTCCTGGCTGTTCAGGAGCCCGTGTGCCTTTGAAGAGGAGGATGACGTTGTGCAGGAGACTGTATTGCTGTATGGCCTGCCAGCCCTGACCAGAGACATCAGTGTGGAAACTGCTGGGATGTTTGTTGATTGTCCAGGCAACACAGCTACACCTGCCCTTATGCCTGGTTAAAACTCTTGTACGAGCTTGAGTGCTTTGCAAGCGTCATCAGGTGCCTCTGCTGTCAAGCTTTTCAGTACTGATTAAAGCTTTCTTGATGTACCAGTACCCGGGCTGCAATGGCTTGAGCAGGAAACTATCGTTTATTAAATATGGTTTTCTGTTTTGTTTTGTTTTTCCAATTCCAGGATCGAATCATTGATGCCGGGCCAAAGGGCAATTACGCTCGGTTCATGAACCATTGCTGCCAGCCAAACTGTGAGACTCAGAAATGGTGTGTGAATGGCGACACGCGGGTCGGGCTCTTCGCAATTGTAAATATCAAAGCTGGTAAGGAACCCCACTCTCAGTTCCTGCAGTTAAAAGCATGGGACTGTTTCTGTAAGGAAAGGGGAGGGTTTGTAGCTCCCTGGGAGGATACTTAATTTTTGTTTTCACAGAGGCATTCATGAGACTTAACACCAGCACTGACATAATGAAACGCATACATCCATGCTGTAAATGAAGGTTCATAGTTCTGATTTACAGGGCCATGAAATGGAGCTAAGCATGCCGTAGCGTGGGCTCGAGTGACCTTTTTAGCTGTAGTAGATGGGAGGAGCGTGGGTTTGCACTGAATTTTCAATCCACACAGATCTGTGGAGAGGTCAGTAGTTGGTATCCTTGTTTAGTAGTGGCATTATATTTCAAAGTGCTTTTACTTCAGCAGTAAAATGTTCTGCCCCATAGTTCATTACAAGTTTTGATCTGCTTTTCTGCCAGGGACTGAGCTGACTTTCAACTACAATCTGGAGTGTTTGGGAAACGGAAAGACCGTTTGTAAATGTGGTGCCCCAAATTGCAGCGGCTTCCTAGGAGTACGGCCAAAGGTATGATGCCTCCTTGAAGCTTTTGTTCTTCCAGATCACCTCTTCACATAGGTTTGAGATCTCAGAAAGGGCAATCTGATTTCAGTGTGGCGAACGCTGCTTGAAATGAGTTGAACATTCAGATTTTAATTCTGAGAGAGCAGAACTTAGACCTCAATTATTAGAGTTGCTGTAAATAATGACAGGAAATTGTATTTACACCAAAAAAGTAAATGAAAGATTTTTTTTTCAGAACTTTCTGCTTATTATCATGGCAATTTCCATTCCACTAGAGGAGCAGAGGACAGGCACTTCCATCAGATAACCAAGAAACCACAGCTGAGCCCATTTCCCAAAGTTAAGGCCTGAGTAAATTGTGAGCATGCATGGAAGGCCAGCAAAGTCGCATTCCTTCAGACTGGAGTTGCTTTAGAGCCAGAAGGATTCCACATCACCAACTTTGCTGCAATAAGAAAGTTTCCAGGTTTTCTTCCTTCTTTTAGTTAGGAGGCCGAAGTTTACACACTAGACAGAAATAAGAAATTTGCCTTATCTGTAGTATAAAAATCACTGGCTTTTAGATCTCACTGACTTTTGAGAGCTTCGTTTTGTAACTGTAATCTTGCAGTAACAGGAATTGATTTCAATTACCTCCTTGTGTGAGCTGGTTCTCCCTGGGAAAAGGAAATAACAGGAGCAGTTGGCCGAGTTCCCAGCTGTCACCAGCTAAATCTATGTCTCAGCTGTTAGCTTGTTTCAAGAGCTTCACCAAATCAGTCTGTAATCCCTCTGCTCTGGCATGTGAATGCTGGCTGCGAGATGCTTACCCACACTAAGGGTTAAATGCTCCAGCAGCACAGTTGTTAAGCCCTGTCAATATATAGGGAAGGTTTTGTGAATTCTCCAGAGAGCTTAGTTCTGCAGAAAAATTAACTTATGATTAAAAAAATTGATGTCCTCAGAAGTTGACAGATGAGGTGAATTACACATCTGGTGTATTTAGTTCTTTTTTTGGGTTGTGATTTAAAGTTCAATTGATTTTTGTGCTGCTCCTCTGTTATACATGACTTGACTGTCATTTTTGCCCTGAAATTGCAGGTTGCCTGATGGAAATCAGAGAAAGGTGCCCTTTTGTTGGCATTAATGTTCCATTGTGATGCCTGAGGCGACTCATTCCATCTTGATGAGATGGGCTAGGAAACAATACCCCAGAAAACAGTACCTTGGGTCTGTTTTGGGTTTTGCCTTTTTTTTTCCCAAATACTTCCCACAATAGATAAATTTTTAAGCTTCCTGAAGATAACAGCAAGACAAAACCTCACCGATTATACTCAAGTTCACTCTTAAAAGGGACCTTTCTAACTGGCAGTGTGGAAGAATGCTTGGGAGTCCGGTGTACTGCAGTGAGGAAGTGGGAATCGCTTAGTCCAGCTGTTAGACCTTGCTTAGACATTCAAATTAGCTGTGAAAGGGTTTTCTTGTTTTCTTTGTAATTAGGTGGCTGAGGTACTAGACGCTGAGAATAGGTGGAATCGTTTATGTGGAGTGATTTCACTGCTTGCATTTTCAGTGATAAGAAAGGCCTGAGTCCCCATTGTCAATGGGGATGATCCTGTTAAAACAAATATCCACATGTGGAGGGGAAGGAAACAATCGAGAGACTTCCACCACTGCCCAGTTCTGAAACTGTAGGTCTGGAGCTAAAGGTTTTTAGATGTATGGTGGTTTCTTTTTTTTCCTTGATAGGAGAGTGATGAAAATAGTGCCCAATATTTATGTGGAATAAAGGATGCAAAAATCGCCTCGTAGGCGTCATCTTAGCACGCAGAGGTGTTCTCTGCAGAGAACTCGTATTTGAACAGAAGATATGTGGAAAATGGCACGAAATTTAGCTCCTGTCTGGTTAGATGAACTAGACTGATAGTGCTTTGATAAGGTCACTGACTGGGGACAGGTACCATCATCTTTGTGGAGCTGGGTGTTTGGTACAATGGGAGGCTTAGCCCTGTACTAGGAGTTAGGAGTACTCTGAGGACCCAGCTTGAAGTGTGTGGGGAAACAGTGCTGAAGGAAGCCTTAGGCCAAAGAAGAGAGCACTTAGGCCATTCAGTTGCCAGTCTTTGTACCAGCTGTGGTTATTTCATTGCTGCCTGCACAACAGCTGTTGGAAGCGGGGTAATTTGACGGTACTGATGACTCAAAGATGTTGGTGAGGGAGAGGATGGGGCAGTTTCAAAGGAATAACCGATTATAACTGGGAAGGGGCTGGAGTTCAGAGTTGCAGTGTGCCAGAGAACACACCTGGAGGGTTATAGCAGAAACACGTGTGCCATGAGAAGGTCATCGATGAGCAGTCCTGGTGGAGAAGGAGCTGTTGTGCAGTTCGGCCACCACAGGACTGAGCTGCTGTGCCGACACCGCTGTGAAAGCAGGTGGTGCTTTGGGAAGGATTTCCTGTTCTTTTGGAGGCGTGTTGATGTCGTTGTACACAGCCTGTGAGGTGTCATCTGAAGTAGGGTGTATAATTCTGTAAATCAACCCCATAGAGGCAGAGAAAAGCCATTAGGAAGATTGAGGGTGCAGACTGAGTGTTTGGTGTGTGAGAAGGAGAGTGTGTCCTGTGGTTATGCCATGGAGAGAGGAAAACTGCAGAAAAAGAGCAGTAGTGACACAAGAACAAATGGGTCTATACCAATCACGAGTAAATTCAGACTGAAGATGAAGATGAGGGACATCAAGAAGTGAAGGAAGGCCTGGGAGAGAGCCCTCATGAGAGTCACAAGTGCAAGGTGACCAAATTGCTTTGGTTGAGGACCTGAGGAGGAGTCTGTGAGAGGTGATGAGCTCAGCAATGCCAGGCAGCCCCTGGCTCCTCATTCTGCTGTTGCTAACTGCTTATATCACATGTTTAACCAGAACTATTTGCTATAGTAAATCAACTGCCAACTATTAAGAAGTACTGTAGAAATGCTACATACGTTTCAGGTATAGCTGACAGTGGAATTTTTATCTGTGGGGTTTGCAGTTACCTCTGCTGTAGGAGAAAGGGAGCAGAGACTTGCATTAACTGATGTTGTCTCACCTGCAGAGTCAACCCACCCTCACCGAGGAGAAGTCCAAGAAGCTAAAGAGGAGGCCGCAGATGAAGCGCAGGTCGCAGGCAGAGGTGATGAAGGAGCGAGAGGACGAATGTTTCAGCTGTGGGGACGGAGGGCAGCTGGTTTCTTGTAAGAAGTCAGGCTGCCCCAAGGTGTACCATGCAGACTGCCTCAACCTGACCAAGAGACCTGCAGGTCAGTGCTCGCATGACTGGGCTCTGCTTGGGTCACAGCATCGGCTCAAGGTGTCCCAGGCGCTGCTCATCACTTTACACTCACTTAGCAGCATCTTAAAATTGAGAGATACCGTTCTCACTTGAGCAGACACAACAGACATAACACAACCCTGTCTTGCACCCCACTGTGACTGCAAAAAGCTGAATGGATTGCTGGAAAGAGAGCTGGTCCTTGTCTAAGAAACGGTGTTTGTGACCTGACCCCATCCTTGGGGCCTGGCAGAGGACTGTCCCAGCAATACATGAGGCATTGATTCCTCAGATTGGCCGTTTTTCCAAAGTTGAAAATGAGTGAATGAGGAGGAGGAGAACAACAGAAAATGAGAGTTAGAGACGTGTGTTAGTGGTGTTAGATGTCTGAATAGCCGTGAGTTCATAGTTAAGGAAGAGAGCGGTATCAAAGCATATCCTAGTTTGTGATAAAATGGGGGCAAAAGTGTGAAATAAAAAGAAATACATTTCCAAAAATACTTCTTTGTGTGCAGAGAAAGAAGTAAGCTCCTTGTATGAGTGATAAAACAGTTTCTAGTTCATTAATAACTCGGGGAGTGTAAAGTAACATCTGTTAGAGGAAAAGATTTCAGTTGCCTTTAAAAGCCTTAAGGTATCTGGCTGAGCAGGATGTTTCCTCTGTTGTTTCAGTATGTCTATGGGTTACTAAAGGAGTTCCTGGGACCTTTAATGAGTGTTCAGGTTTGACCACTCCTCAGAAGGCAGAAGTCTGAGCTGCGTGTCGGTAGGCCAGTTACCCTGGTGTCTGGCAGGCCAGGAGGATGGAAAAGCTGATGTGGGATCAAGTGCATAAAGAATTAAATGTTAAGAATATAAATAATACTAGATGGCAAGTTTTTAGGCAGAATAACTCATCAAACCTAATTTAGGGGGTTTTGCTAAGATAATAAATTTGGTTAATAAAAGCAACTGCATTGAAGTAATTTGCTTAGGGGGCTGTAAATCTTTTGATTTAATGGTGTAAGCGTTGCCGTAACTAGAAGTTGTCTATGCAGATGTGTACAGTATTTTGTGAACACATCAGAGGCAAGCTAAGGAACGGGGAGCCAAGCGGTCTCTGAAAGTAACAGCCAGGAGAGTCACTGAGACACAGCGTTTCTGTCAGCACTCCATGGGGAGCCAGAACTGGGCATCCAGCACCTCTGTTTGTCATTCGGCAGAAGGTGTAGAAGGGCTGGTAGCATATTTTGTAGATGACAGAAACTGCGTTTGCGCGTGTTAGGTTTTGGAGAGAATAGGGCATTGATACAGGGGAGCTTGCGTTGCTCATTGAATGAACGCTGTAACACAGCAGTGTGAAAGCCGACGGGAGCGAGGTCATTCCTATGGAAACATCATCATTCAGGATCCTGAATATCCTGAATATCACCTTTCTCTCCATTTCTGTGGGCTAAGACAGGGTGCTGTAACATCCTGGCGTGTTTTCCCATGCTTTAAAGTCTCCAGTAAAGGAGAATCCAGCATTTAGCCTGTTCCCTGCTTTCCAGTTGAGAAGTTTCTCCTAACAGCCTGACTTGAAAAAAACAAAAGATTGCCATCTCTCCAGATACCCCTTTTTATTTCTTTATTTTTGTACAAACTGCTGTTGTCTACTTAATCCTTTTCCTGCTAAAATAAAAACAACCTCTCCTTGCAGCTCTTATTTTCTAAAATTATTATTCTTGGTCTGCTCTGGATTGTGTCCCACCTGCCTACACATTTCTTTAAACTGTGGTAACAAGAGTATTTTAACAGTATTGCAGCTGAGGCCTTCCTAACAGTGACAGAACAGGATCACTGTATTTTGTGTTTTATATGAAGTATCTCAGGAAATTAGATTTGACCTGTTTCTGAAAAATAACTTTGTTATGTTTGTGATTTTTTCTATCATCTTTGTGTCTTCTTGTCTTGATCCTTTTCATGTATTTATTTTATTTCTTCCTCCTGCAGTCCTGCTTGCACTGCTCTTTATTCAGTTGCACCTTGTTAGTGCAGGAGCATCTGTCCAGTTTAAATTCTGAGCCTGTCTAACCAGATTTTTGCAGTTCCTCACAGCCTTGTAGTTACCTGCCTGTGTGAGAATATTTGCTATTCCACTTCCAGAAATTTAAATTAAAATTCAGACTAAAATAGACTTCGGAAGGATGTGATTGGAATGCCCCCTCGGTTTGCCAGAACACCGTTAGTAGCAGCTTTCCGAGAACGGCTACAACGGGCTGAAAAACATTTGAACATTTTTACACGTAGGTGGTTGTTTTTGTCGCCCGCTCCTTAGAGTACCATACAGGATATGAAAGGTTCAGCACTTTTTGCTTTGGATGTTTCTTCTGCCATGGGCATTGCTGTGGAGTAATTAGAATTTCCTGCTTGTTTGCGTGTTTCTAATTGTGCGATCTTACTTCCAAGAGCTCCTCTGCTCCCGGCTGTCTCTGGAGAGGCTGTGTATTCATTAGGCCTTTTATCCTGTCAAAGACCATTAGAGTGGGTTGAAAGGATTTACCCTTCCTGCAAGGTACTGGCAGGTTTTGAGTTACTTGATTTTCCATCCGTACAAGTGACCTCTTATAAAAATAGTCCCAGCGTCTTTCCGGTGGCCAAAGTGAGTGTTGAGTGTGGCTCTCTGGGTTGTTGATAGTGTGGAGGGAGCGGCAGCAACCCGTGCTTCAGCACTGCAAGCCCAAAAAGAGGGAAAATCATGTGTAGTTTTAAGCATCCCTGAAAAGGATGGTGAAAAATTGGAGGAGATGCAGAAAAGTGATGTACGTATTTTGAGACTGAAACAGAAGCACTGGACTGGCTTCAAAGGAGGGGAAGATGTGCTACATGTTGTCTTCAACCCCAGGGGAAAAGCAGCGTGAGAGAGGGGAGTGGAAAGGTGATGCTGCAC